AAACCCAAGGAGGGGTCGCTATGAGTTGGGGCCGACTCGACGGCAAATAACAACAACAAATATATATATATATATATATATATATATATATGAATATTCTTATAGCATATACAGATATATATGTACAGATATCCTGTGTCAACCTTATATGTGGTCATGGGTATATTCCCTTTTGCCTACTCATACCTGTCTACCTATTTATCTATCCATAGATTATTGTTTATTACTGATAGTGCAGTAGTATTATATGCAAAGTATTTATCTTTGTTATCTATACTTCTTGTTCACCTCTCCATGTTTTCCTTTTCTTTAGTGTTACTTTTCTGGTTCCTCCCTGTTGGTATATTGCCTTTCCCTTCACCCAAATCAGTACTTGTCTCTTACCTGTCTAGCAATTTTCCCGCACCTCTTGTCCCCTCCCTGATAAATAAAAAAGAAAGTTCTTGCTATGTAAACTTTTCCTTGACTTTTCACAAATAGTGTACTCCTACAACATTTGTCCTTCTGTGATTGACTTATTTCAGTCAGCATAATATTCTCCAAGTTCATCTATATTATGAGCTGTTTCTCAGATTCTTCATTATTCTTCAGGGCTGCATAGTATTCCACTGCATTGTGTACCATAGTTTGGTTATCTATTCATCCATTAATGGGCACTTGGGTTGTTTCCATCTTGTGAATAGTGCTGTGGTGAATATGGACGTACATATTAGTTCTCACTTCTTTAGGATGTATACCAAGTAGTGGGATTGCCGAAGCAAATGTTATTTCTATTTCCAACCTTTTAAGGAAGTGCCATACCATTTTCCACAGTGGTTGTCTAATTTTACAGTCCCACCAGCAGTATATGAGAGTCCCAGTCTCTCTACATCCTCACCAGCAACTGTTAACTTTCTGTCATGTTGAACTTTGCTATAATACCGGGGTGAGATGATATCTTATTGTTGTTTTGTCATCTCTCTAATGGCTTATAAAAGAGCTCTGGTGGCACAGTGGGTAAGGCATTTGGCTGCTAACCCTCAGGTTGAGTCAAACCCACCAACTGCTTCGTGGAGAAAGATGAGGCAATCTAAAGATCTACAACCTTGGAAACTCAATGAGAGTTGTTTTGAGTCAGTATCAACTCAATAGCAGCGGATTTGGTTTGGTTTTAATACCTAGTGATTGCAAGTATTTCTTCATGGGTTTGTTGGCCACCTGAATATCTTCTTTGGTGACATGTCTGTTCATGTCTTCTGCCCGTTTTTTAATTGGATTGTTTGTCTTTTTGATATTGAAGTGTTGAAGTTTTCTCTAAATTTTGGGAGTAAGTCCTTTGTCAGATATGTCATTGCCAAATATTTTCTCCCAGTCTGTAGGTTCTCATTTTACTCTTTGGAAAAATCTTTTGATGCACATAGGAGTTTAATTTTTAGAAGTTCCCAGTCACCTAGTTTATCTTCTGCTATTTGTGCATTTTTAATTATGTTTGATAGTCTATGCCCTATATTAGGGCCCTAAGTTTGCCCCAATTTTCTCTTTGATGAACTTTACACTTTTAGGTTTTACAGTGAAGTCTTTGATCTGTCTTGAGTTCCTTTAGGTGTATGTATGAGGTATGGATCTTGTTTCATTTTTCTGCAAATAGATATCCAGTTTTGCCAGCACCATTTGTTGAAGACACAGTTTCTTCCCCATTTAATGGGTTTCGGCTCTTTGCCAAAAATCAGCTGTTGATAGGTAGATGGATATATTTCTGGATTCTCAATTTGTTTCCCTGGTCTATGTGTTTTTCATTGTACCAGTACCAGGCTGTTGTGACTACTGTGGCTGTATAATAGGTTTTGAGATCAGGAATATGACACTTCTATTTTGTTCTTCTCCTTTAATAGTGCTTTGCTTATCCAAAGTCTCGTTCCTTTTCCAAATCTAATTTGTTACTGGTTTTTCCATGTCCTTAAAGAATGCTGATGGAATCTGGACCAGGATTGCTTTGAATCTATAGATTGCTTTATGTAGTATTGACATTTTCACAATCTTAAGTCGTCCTGTCCTTAAGTATGGTATGTTCTTCCATAGATGTAGATCTCTTACAGTTTCTTATAATAGTTTTGTAGTTTCTTTGTATAGGTCTTTTGTATCCCTGATAAGATTTATTCCTAACTATATGATCTTTTTGGTAGCTATTATAAATGGTATTGTTTTCCTTATTTCCTTTTCACAGATCTCTTTGTTAATGGAGAGGAATCAAAGTGATTTTTGTCTGTTGATCTTGAATCCAGCCTCTGGAATCCAGCCTCTGTGCTGAATCATTCAATTCCAATAGTTTTCTTGTTGAGGCTCTGAAATTTTCTGTATATAGAATCATATGGTATTTCCATGCAAATATTTCTTTATTCACTGTTTTCATTCAAGTTCTTTCACCTGTCAGTGTTTAATCTCCTGTTTTATCCTTCCCTTCAAAGCTCAGGGTTCCAGGATTATCTTCTCTATCTGTTTCAAATGTTTTCTCACTTTTTTGTTTTAGAGGATCTGTGTAGCATGTCTGCCTGTTCTGCCATCTTGCCAGACGTCATATTTGGGTTATTAGATTCTTATTGGATATGAGACTGTGGGTTTTAGGTCAACAACATTTGTCAATTAATAATCTGATCCTGGAGAAAAGTTCTTACTTATGAGCAGAATACTGGAAATACTGCTTGCCAGGGAAAATAGAAGGCTTCCCAAAGGAATTGACATTTCATCTGGACTATGAAGATGAGTGGTAATTCAGGCAGAAAGGAAGAAGAGGAAGCAAAGGTAAAGACAAAAGATTTCAGGGAAAGAGAAAACTAATAGTACTTTGCTAGGTGCTTTGATATATATGGGTAGTCTTCAATTCACTGTGTATTCGAGTTACAGCGAATCTCACAACCATCTGTTTTTATCTGTTGCAGCATAATTTGCTGATGTTATCATTCTCAGATGCTCATTTACTGATGTTCAATGTTCTGATTTATAAAGATTTGGAAAATAAAATTAATTAATTCCAAACAAAGCACTTAGAACAATACTTGGCACACAGTAAACACAATAATGTTAGCTATTAAATACTCACCTATTGAATAATGAGATTAGTAGAGGTTTTTGTTTGCTTTTTGGTACTTGTCTATATATTCTATAGTTTATCTGGTAAACATCTTTACTTTATAATGAGAAAAGTTACTTTAATGCTGACTCCAGTTGATGATCAAAGCTGTCCTGTAGCAAAACCAAGGGAATTAACACCTAATAAATAAACAATGATGTAACTTTTTAATTCATTGTAAAGAACAGCAGCAATTAAAAAAAACTTAGAAAGAATGAGGTATTCAACTTCAGAATCAGCTTTGATGGAACAGGACCCTGTAATAAGTCAAGGACTGCCTATGTTGTCTTATATATTCCTCAGACAAGCCTTATGAAATGGTTGTTTTCCTCACTTTAGTGAAGGCACTGTGGCTTAAGAAAAATAAATAACTTGCACAAATTATACATGCAGTTATTTGTTGGAGAGTTTATTAAGGAGTGCATTAGCTGGATAACTGCTCATAAGTGCAATTTAAGTGTTACCAAACTGCACTGCATAATATTTGTAAGCGTATAGAACCCACTGCCATCGAGTCTAAGAGTAGAACTGCCCCATAGGGTTTTTCCATGGTTGTAAATCTTTAGGGAAGCAAACTGCCTCATCATCCTCCTCCTGCTGAGCAGCCTTAGCAGCCAACTGTTTTAACCACTGCACCACCAGAGCTCAGAGGAATTGTATTTACCAGAACAATTTTTAAGGAATGTTGTTCGTGTGTTAGAAAAATAAAGAATACATGAACTATTTGGGGTGTTGGTGTGGTTGAGATCCCCCAGGGGCAGGCTGTTGCTAAAGTCTTTAAAAGAGAATATTTTACTGAATAAGCCTGCAGAATTCCCTAGAATACCCAAGTAGCCTTTTGTTAAATAAATGTTAAACAGATACTTGAGGACTGTGGTAGTTAAGTTTGTGTGTCAAATTGGCTGGGCCTGGTTGAGTGGCTGGGCAGCTGAATGTAATTATTCCCCATGGTAAAATTAGTAATTGACTCCAAGGTGGAATCTATTAGAGCAGCTGAGTAGCTGCTTTGGGTATGTGGTCTGCTTCCCATATATAAGAAACAACTTTGGGAATGATCTCTAGCTTATGACATGCTTGAACCCTGCATGTAGCTGTGTTGTTGTTCAGTAGCCTGCCATGCTCAGCCAACCTTGGGACTTTCAATGGACTTGAATCAATCGCCTGCCATGTGGTTTGGTAACATCGGGACTGTGCCTTTTTACTTGTCAATTTTGGGCTTGTCAGCCTCAGCAGCCAGCAGCGTGAAGAAAAGTCTCTAGCTTCAGTAGGCCGGGAGCAGGAGGCAGAGCTGAAGCCTAAGGTTGAGGGGCTTTCACCCAGCCTCTGTAGCCTGGCACTTTGAACTCGGACTTAAAGCCTCCAAACTATAAGAGAATAAACTCCTGTTTGTTCAAGCCATCGCTTTTGTAGTACATTCTTGTCGGAGTGGCACTAGGTAACCAGAACAAGGACTATCTACTTAAAGGGGCCCAAACTAAGTATATCCAGGTGCCCTACTTGTTCTGGATGTCTATAGAAGGGTCAATACTCTACCTCTATTCAACTCCAAAGCTAGTACTCTTGGCCTCATACCATGCTGCCTCTAGCATATGGCTAAAATGCAGATATATATGTAGATAAATATATATATGAGGAAGAATTGTAAATAGTGATTCTAAAGACTGTGCGCTGGTAGTCTCATAGCAGTATCTGCTAAGTAACCTTAGTGATGTATTTTCTTAACCTTTTTATCTGACCACCAATTTAGCTTAAATACTTCATGAAACAAGTTAGATAAGAATGAGTGAATAGATAGGCCTTCTCTGTTGAGAAACCTACCACTATATGTTTACTATCCTCAGGAAATTACTACAATCAAGGAGAGATTCGTAAGGAAGAACTTTTGCAGAGCTGTGATGTTTTGGGGATTCCATCTTCCAATGTAATGATTATTGACAACAGGTAATTTATCTTTTAATAATGTAGAAATTCATTGACAATAAATATGCAATAGTACACTCAAAAGACCAAAAAAACTAATGTGGGTGGGTAAGAATATCTTATGTGAGAAGTCTACTTAAAATAGTTTCTTTCACATTTTGTTTTTAAATAACTGTATAATGCAAATAAATCTTACCAACCTCTGTTCTGATTTTGTGTTGTAAGATAGCTGCTTTTTTTTAATCTTTAAAGAAAAGTTTATCATTAAAAAAATTTCAAAAATACACAAAAGCATAGAGAACAGTATCATGATCCCCTGTATGCCTGTTACTTAAACCTGACAGTTATCAAGACTTTGTTATACATTTCATCTGCCCCCACTTTCCTCCGTGGGTGCACGTGTGTGTGTGTGTGTGTGTATGTGTAAAGTATTTTAAAGAAAACCTCAGTCATCAGATTATTTCACTCCTATATACTTAGGTTTGCATCTCTTAAAAAGATGAACATTTTTTTCATACAGCCACAATGCCATTATTATCACATTTAACAAAATTGACAGTAATTCTTGGTATCACCCAATACCCAATCAATATTGAAATTTTTTTGATTAGCTCAAAAATATCTTTTTACAGTTGGTGTGTTCAAACTGGGATCTAAACATTATAGTTAGTTGGTATTCTGCATTTAATTCCTCCCTTCTTTGCCCACCATGCTATTGAATGTTTAGTTCTGTAGAACATCCTGCATTCTGGATTTCTCTGTTTCCTCACAGTGCTAAGTTGTTCTTCTATCCTCTATATTTCTTGTAAACAAGAAAGTAAATGTAACAGCTTAATTACAGTCTAACTTTCATGAACAAAATACTTAATAAACTGTACTATGTATATCATACCAGGAGACACATACTATCTTGTTATATCACTTACAGTGATTCTAAGATGGATAAATGAGTTCAGATAACAATGGCTTGCTCCTTCTTTTTAAAGACCCCCATCAACCTTTCATGCTTAATAGCTTGAATCATTGATTAACTAGAAGTTGCAAAATGACAGGTTTCTAATTCTCTCACATATTTTATGCTTCTTCTTCTGTAAAGCAGAACTTTCCGTATCAACTGGGGCTATTTAGTTGCCTGGTATATAATTTGAACCAAAAAGACAGGTTAAATGACTTTAATTAACATTTTCAGAGTAGTTGTTGATGCCCTAGTTACTGCCAATGGTTATCCATACATTGTATATTTCATGGGGTAGGGGGTGGGGCTTCCCCCCCCATTAGAAACATAGTTCCTCTTTATATATTCAATGTTTCATTTTCAGTCTTTTTCTTTAATGCTCAAATTATCTCATCTTTGGTCAGTGGAAACCTTTTCATGTTGATTCATGTGTTTTTTTAATATGACCGCTTTAGTCTTATGTGGTTTCCTTGCTTTGGAAAATGAGATTTTCTATACCATCTTATATACTTTCCTGCTCTAGTCCTAGAATCAGCCATTCTTTCAAGGAGCCTTGTTTTCTCTTAAAGAGATTGGTATTTAGAGACCATAACCAGGACGCTAGGAGTGTTCGTTGCCATAGTGTTACTGTTTCTTATTGGTACTTGACCTTTCTAGTGGACAGAACTAGAATATATGTTTTTTTCTTTTTTCTTTTTAACAGAAATTGTCAAGAATGTATACTGATGGTTATGATTCAAAGTTAATATTTCAAAGGTTTTGTTTGATGTCTTTGAGTTTTACAGTTTTCTCTCTTTCTGAAAATCTTGCTTTCTAACAACACTAGCATCATTACTTGTTTTCTTCTTTAATCTTTTTATGAATTTCATAAAACATGAATGGAAAAAGGCTTTTATTATGTACACTCAGGGAAGCAGCTATTGAAGACCAAGACTAACTATAATAGGACTGACCATCGGCAATTGGCTTTACAATATTCAGAAAAAAAATACATACATATACAGATTAAGCAAAAAATGTCAAAATCTTAGCAATCTAAACCTTGATGGAAGGTACATAAGTGTTCATTAAACTATTCTTTTAACTTTTCTGTTTGAAGTCCCATACCACATACCTTTTATCCTATTTTTCATATAGGTATATTTTACTGTATTGTTACTGACCTCCTTTTCAATTAAAAAAAAAAAAAATCAGAGCTCTGAATAACAGCAACTGGGGTTTGTCTGCCCTCTAAATTTCATGACCTTTTGGGGTTAAAAATCTCCTCTTCATCAACAGCCTATATCTTTTGAGGTTTGTTACAAATTAGTTTGTACTTGCTTCCTTTTTTGAAGTTTTTCTCTTCTAATATTGAGTAATATGCAGGAAGGTGATAGTACAACTTTAAAACATTATGAAGAAACAAGTTCCTTTCAGTATGAACAAATAAAAGCTATAGTTACATAGATACATAAAAAGTTACATAAAAGACCAAAGGAGTCATTTTACTGGTGTTTTCAATTCATTCTCAGAAAACAAAATTTTTACAGGACAGTAGTACTAGGGAAAGAAGTAATCTATATCTTTTTATGCCCTGGACCTAACCCCAGTTTGGACAGTGTCCCTATTTACAAGTAAGTAGAGATTAACCAATTTTCTAAGATAAACTGTTATTTAGGCCATTTACCTTATGTTCTGGGGCATACAAGGAAAGTCTAGGAGGAAAACACAACTCACTTGTCTAGTAATTGGTTTCTATTGTTTAGATTTTAGATATACAGCTAAGGTCCAGGAAAGAGCTTAAAAAGTAAATGTCACCAAAACCCAAAAAAATCCACTGCCATTGAGTCGATTCTGACTCATAGTGACCCCCATTGAGTTTCCAAGGCGGCTAATCTTTACGGAAATAGATTGCCCCGTCTTCCTTCCACAGAGTGGCTGGTGGGTTTGAACTGCCAACCTTCTGGTTAGCAGTCAAATGCCTTAGGCACGGTACCACCAGAGCTCCTTGAAGGTCACCAGATCTATCTGCAAAGAAGTACTCACTGCCCTCTCTGACGTCTTGTTTCTATGGGTTTTACATATCCCAACAAATTTGGTCTCAAGTTGTCTTTGTTTTGAAGTTTAATTTGTTTTTTACTTATAGAAGATTAGAGCCAGTGCATTGTTAGACAAAGGAAGAAAGTTACTGGTACATGCAGGTGAATGAGTCCAGTAAATTTCAAATTTATTATTTTTCATTGTGGGTAAGAGGGTGATTTGTAGAATCTAGGATCCACTTAGGTGGCTTCAACAGTACGATTTGCCCTCTGACATATGAAGTTATCTAAAAGCAAGATGGTTGCAGGTTGACTCCACAACATCATCAAAGACCCAAGGATTTTCCATTTTTCTACATGGCCATTTTCATCTTGCCAACATACCTTCCCTTCTGGTTATAAAGTATCTTAGTTGTCTAGTGCTATCAAAACAGAAATACAACAAGTAGATGGCTTTAACAAACAGAATTTTATTTTCTCACAGTGTAGGAGGCTACAAGTCTGAATTCAGGGTGCTGGCTCTAGGGGAAAGCTTTCTGTCTCTGTTGGCTCTGAGAGAAGGTCCTTGCCTCTTCTCAGCTTGTTTCTCGGCTCCTTGGTGATCTTCATGTGGTATAGCATCTGTCTTCCCCCATCTCTGCTTGGTTGCTTGTTCTGTCTGTTCTTTTTATATTCAAAAGAGATTGACTCAGACATACCCTATACTAATACTCATGGAACCAAGACTGGTCAATCTACTTCAGTGAAGATTTACCACCTCAGAAACCCAAAGGGGGTTGCTATGAGTCAGAATCAACTTAATAGCAGTGGGTTATACTAATACTGCCTCGTTAACATAACAAAGATAACCCATTCCCCAAGTGCGATTATAACCATAGGTATAGGGGTTAGGATTTATGATACATGTTTTTGGAGGGGGGAGCTCTGGTGGTGTTGTGCCTAAGACATTTGACTGCTAACCAGAAGGTTGGTGGTTAAAACCCACCAGCCACTCCACAGAAGGACGACTGGGCAGTCTACTTCATAAAGATTTACCACCTCAGAAACCCAAAGGGGGTCTCTATGAGTCGGAATCAACTTGATGGCAGTGACTTATTTTGGGGGGACACAATTCAATACGTAAAAGATGGAATAGCAATTTTGTTTATTTATTTAAGTAATATTTTATTTAGTTTTTGGTGAAAGTTTACATAGTAACAAACCAGAGCAAACTCACTGCCATCAAGTCAGATCCGACTCATAGAGACCCATCCTTGGGTTTCCAAGGCGGTATCACTACAGAAGTAGATTCCCCAGTCTTCCTTCGGAGGAGTGGCTGGTGGGTTTGAACCGCCAGCCTTCTGGTTAGCAGTCAAGTGCCTCAGGCACTACGCCACCAGAGCTCCCTTACATAGCAAGTTACCCCTATATACAGTAAGAAGCATCATGGAGGTAGAGTCATGTAGCCAATGGCAACTAGATGCTTAGCAGTTGGCAAAAGCTCCCTCCCACCCAACTGAGGCCTCTGCAGTCCTTTTGTTATTTTTAAATCCTAGTGCTGTTATTTATTAAATATGTGATCTCAGACATTCCTCTTAGTTTTCTTCATGTAAGGTAAAAGAAAAAAAAAAAGAAAACAGGATAATAAAACCTATTTTGTAGAATTAGTCTACAAATTAAATGAGATGACCTTTGTACAAGTGTCAGGCATGGAGTAGGTATAAATTACAATGGTTGAAGCATATGTTCTGTAGCCAAACTGTTTCAGTTCAAATTCCAGCTCTACTACTTATTAGCTGACAGACTTGGGTAAATTGCTGAACCTCTCACTGTGCCTCAGTTTCTTTATCTGTAAAATGGGAAAAATAATTATTTTGAGGATTAAGGAAGATACTGTTTTTAGTAGTTTTTGGCATTGACAGTATTGATTTAATACATACTTACATTTATTATTGAGCATGTTGTTGTTGTTGTTATGTGCCGTCGAGTCAAACCCGACTCATAGCGACCCCTCCTTGGGTTTCCGAGGCAGTATCACTACGGAAGTAGGATTGCCCAACCTTCCTTCC